CTGCTGAGAAGAGGCGTCCTTGACACGAAAGGCGGTGGGCAGAGGCAGATTATTAGTGGATGAAGACTGAGCTCACCCATCAGGTAGCCTCAGGCTTCTCACTGAGAAGGGCAAAACAGTCACCTGAGAATGAAGTAGAGTTAAGACTGGGCCTTTGAGGAGATTATAGAAAGTTTCACTAACACACAAGTGAAAGCATTCCGGAGCAGCGAGTCCTAGCTCAATAGGGGACTCTAAAAAGTTTGTTAAAAATGTTAATGAGGGGCACCTGGGTGGCTCAGTGGGTTAAGCTTCTGCCTTAGGCTCAGGTCGTGATCTCAGGGCCCTGGGATCGAGCCCCGCATCGGGCTCTCTGCTCAGCGGGGAGCCTGCTTCCCCCTCTCTCTCTGCCTGCCTCTCTGCCTACTTGTGATCTCTCTGTGTCAAATAAATAAATAAATAAAAACAAAAACAACAACCAAAAAAAACGTTAATGAAAGTCTTGGGGAAGAAAACCTACAGTCCAACAACTATAATACTATTTTATTTGTGCATTTTACCATCTAGACTTGCCTAAATTTTTTTCCCTTTTTATTTTGCTTATTTCCCTGAACATTGTAGATTTTAGCGTTACTGGACTATTATTTCTGTTATTTTTAATGGCTGTGTAAATAGTCCATAGATCTGTTCTTCTTCATCTTACCAAACAGCCCTCTAGTTACTGACCTGGTGGTGTCCACTTTTTAATACTATTATACCTAAAGTTTCAGTAAGCATTTTTATACCCAGAACTTAGTCACATTTTATTACTGGATGCAGGACAAGTCTTATACAGTGCTAAACACAGAGCACAAAACATACTGGCTTAAAATGCCACCACAGGGGGCACCTGGGTGGCTCAGTCAGTTAAGCATCTGACTCTTGATTTTGGCTCAGGCTCACGATCATGAGATTGAGCCCCATAACAGACTCTGTGCTCAGTACAGAGTCTGCTTGGGATTCTCTCTCCCTTTCCCTTTAACCACCCCCCAATTCATTCTCCCTCTCTCTCTCTCTCTGTCTCTCTCTTTCTCTCTATCTCAGGTAGATAAATCTTTAAAAAAAAGTCACCTCCATGAGTCCTTCCGCATTTAAAATTGCAACCCTCAGGGAAACAAAAGCAAAAATGAACTATTAGGACTTCACCAAGATAAAAAGCTTTTGTACAGCAAAGGAAACAGTCGGCAAAACCAAAAATACCCTACAGAATGGGAGGAGATATTTGCAAATGTCTCATCAGATTAAGGGCTAGTATCCAAAATCTATAAAGAACTTATCAGACTCAACACCCAAAAAGCAAATAACCCAGTCAAGAAATGAGCAGAAGACACGAACAGACATTTCTTCAGAGAAGACATACAGCAGACACATGAAAAACATCACTCGGCATCAGGGAAATACAAATCAAACCACAATGAGATATCACCTCACACCAGTCAGAATGGCTAAAATGAACAAGTCAGGAAACGACAGATGCTGGCGAGGATGCGGAGAAAGGGGAACCCTCCTACGGTGTCAGTGGGAATGCAAGCTGGCGCAGCCACTCTGGAAAAAAGTGTGGAGGTTCCTCAAAATGTTGAAAATAGAGCTACCCTATGACCCAGCAATCGCACTACTGGGTATTTACCCATCAGGTACAAACGTAGGGATCCGAAGGGGTACCTGCACCCCAGTGTTTATAGCAGCAATGTCCACAATAGCCAAACTATGGAAAGAGCCCATATGTCCATCGACAGATGACTGGGTAAAGAAAATGTGCATATATATAGTAGAATACTACTCAGCCATCAAAAAAAAAAAAAAAAAAAAAAAAGAAAATGACATGGATGGAACTAGAGGATGTTATGCTAAATAAGTCAATCAGAGAAAGACGATGATGTGATCTCACTCATGTGGAATTGAAGAAACAAAACAGAGGCTCATAGGGGAAGGGCAGGAAAAATAAAATCAGAGAGGGAGACAAACTGTAAAAGACTCTTAAGTATAAGAAACAAACTGAGGGTTGCTGGAGGGAGGGGGATGGAGGATGGGTAACTGGGTTGGGAGATGGACATTGAGAAGGCAGGTGATGTGATGAGCACTGGGTGTGAAATACAACTAATGAAACACTGAGCTCTACTGAACTAATAACACAATATATGTTAATTAATTGAATTTAAATGAAATAAAGTTAAATTAAAAATAAAATGGCAACCTTCATCTCATCCTGGCTTTATTTTTCTCTGTAGCACTTGCTCTCTCAGAAATGCCGGATGTTTTATTTAATCTGACTGCTCTTGTCTCCCTTGCTATGTACATAAATTCCCAACGGGCTGAGAAGTGTGGTTTGCCACCAGCACCTGGAATACTGCCTGACCCCTGGCTACTTGCTTGATGGTGGGGTTTACCCAGACCTTCAGGAAAACGGGTTTGGAAGAGTGTCCGTTGCACGAGATATTCATGAGATCAGTAAGAGAATAATTGCAGGGACCAGTCATTTTTATCTAGACAGACTGGGAAGCAACAGAATTCACAGGGACAAGGAACTGGGAGATCGAAGGGTTAGCACTCGGGGTTAATTGTGGCAACAACAGCACATTCCTCTGGAAGGAGAGCATGGGAGCTGTAGAAGGTAAATAGTTTGTGGTTACAGGTGGGAATTTCTCAAGGTGTAGGTAGTAAAAAGGAAACAGTTTGAGAAGTAGTAGTGGCAATTGGTAGAAAACTCCCATTTTGCTGGGAACGGATTGTGTCCCTTTTTAATTGCCCCTGCTTTTGCAGACAGTCCTCTCTCGTTATATTTGGTTCACAGTGGAGTGGTGTATACACCAAGTTGTGTTCTCAAAGGCCTTTTGTTATTAGAGTATGGCCGTGTGTGGTAATCGGAGCACTCAGGTATGCTAGTTATGTCTGTCAGTTGATAGATTATCCTGAATTAGTGGCGGTGTCAGCCCAAGCTTCAAAGCTGAAATTACAGAGAAGTGGCGTCCCCCCTCATTCGGTGTAGCTGATTGGCTTCTTATTTTTAAGTGACCGTCTTACAAGTAGAATTGACCCTCGAACAAGGAGAAGGTTAAGGGCTCTAACCCCTGCGCTGACAAATAACTGAGTATAACTTTTGACTCCCCAAAACTTAATAGCCTATTGATTGAAAGCCTTACCAATAACATCAACAGCCGATTAACACAAATTTTGTGTGTTATGTGTATTATATACTGTATCTTTACAATCCAGTAAGCCAGAGAAAAGATGTTGGTTAAGAAAGTCATAAGAGAAAATACATTTACAGAACTGTACTGTTTTTTTTTTTTTTTTTTAAACATCTTCCCCAGCCCCCCAAACTTCTGTGATTGGCTCATCCAATCACAGCACGCAAGACGGGGCCAGCCAACCGGAACCCTCCTGGGACTTGTGCCCGTCCATCCTGAAATAGGAACTTACTTTCTGAGCTGATGGGACCCCAAGAGATGGGAGAGGGGCCCACAGGATGCTGTTGTAGCCCCTGGATCTAGCCAGTCCTGAAGCTAGGTTATGCCTGGACTCTCAGCAACAAGACTTTCTTTTTCTTTCTTTTTCTCTCTCTCTCTCTTTTTTTTTTTTTTTTTTTAATTTGACAGAGATCACAAGTAGGGAGAGAGGCAGGCAGAGAGAGGGGGGAAGCAGGCTCCCCACTGAGCAGAGAGCCCGATGTGGGGCTCGATCCCAGGACGCTGAGATCATGACCTGAGCTGAAGGCAGAGGCTTAACCCACTGAGCCACCCAGGCGCCCCATGTACTGTATTTTTGAGGGGAAAAAAAATCTGTGTGTAATTGGACCCGTGCAGTTCAACCCGAGTTGCTTGAGTCAACTGTACTTTTCTACTTGAGGTCACTTTACTCCAAGTAGAGCAACTTGGTTAAGTACATAAAAAACTGAGCATAGTGTATGCTAGGGTCATCTGAAGCAACCCCTGGGGTGTCACTCTTGAGAGTGGATGTTCCAGTAGTTTTCTTTTGGGGCAGCCTTCATCGTGACCTTCAGCCAGCGCACGATTCCTCAGTTCTGGGTTTCATAATACAGCATATAGTTAGTTTCAAATTGCAGTTACTCTCTGGTGGGTTGTTACTGACAGACTACTATGGTTCAGTAAGTGGAACACTGCCAAGAGGGTTTTCTTCTCCTGCTTGTCAGTGTGTGGCATGTCTTATTTCTTCAGACTTGATTCTGTTTACTTACTCCATTTTGAAATGTAATCTCAAACATCACCTTCCTCCTTCTTCCAGAATCTCTGGAGTACTTGGCCAATCTGTTAGTTCATAAAGAGATTTCATGTGTTGAGGCCTGTCCCAGAGATTTTTCTTTACATACCTGTGCCTTTGTCGGCTTTATTTGTAGATGAGGTATGTTGATGATGATGAGAGTTGAGCAAGGTCATTTGCTTTTTTAGATTAAAAAAAATTTTAACTTGAAGTTCTTAGAACCAAGTGCTTCTTCCTAATTGTATTGACAAATATAGTATGATATGGCTTCGTTGTCTTTGTCTATACGGTTGACTTTGAGAGCTGTTAATGAAAGTTGGAGTGCCCTTGCATGGGTTATAGTGATTTCTTCTTCTCTTCCCAGTACAGTCAACTGCGGTCAGCATATGGTGCAACCCAGTGTAAGAGAAATGCTTAATATAAGCCTTTCTTCTATTGAAAACCAGGCTAAGACCATCCTCCTTACATTTCCTCATTAATTGGTTGTTAGCATAACGTTAACTATTTTAAGGTCCCAGACCTCTCTTTATCTTGATCAAAAGAACGTTCTTAGGGAGGAATCCTGCAGTTTTCATTTAATCCATCTGTGACCTCTTACGAGGCGGATGGCGCAGTGAGTTACACGCCTGGCTCACTGGGGAGCTGTAGAAACCAGATCTCTGCTGCACGGCCTCCAGAGCAGTGGGGGAAGACTGAGAGGAAGAGCTGTGCCCCGGGTGAGGGAGCAGAACACAGGTAGTCTAACCAGAGCTGCTTGCTTACAGGGAGAATGCTGGGGAACCAGACTCCTGGAGCAGTTTATCCTATGAAATCCCGTATGGAGACTGCTCTGTGAGGCATCATCGAGAGTTGGACGTCTATACCTTAACCTCTGAGTCTGAAACACGTCATGAAGTCCCATTTCCTGGAGACAGTTGCACTGGACATATTTTTAAACTTATGAACATCCAACAGCAGCTAATGGTAAGGAAGAAAATGTCCATCTTCAGGCTTTGGTGCCCTCACACTTTCCCCCACTGAACCTTCCTAGAATTAGAACACAGAAATGCTTTCCTCAGAGATTGTGAAACCCAAAGCCCTTTTAGCAGCATTAGATACCACTGCTTAAACATACAAAACAGCAACAGGGGACTGGGAATTCTCCTTTTCTTTTCTTTTTTTGGCCAGGCTTTTGAACTAGTGAAAGATACACATACACACTGCAGATACAGAAATACGCAACAACTAGAACTCTGTTTTCCTGGCATAAAAGGAAATTTGTCTGTTTATTAATTTGTCAGTTTAGCTTTATAAAGCTAAATGAGCAAAACAGTTTCTGAGATTGTTGCTAAAGAACAAGGACCACATTTACTTAAAAGTAAGGCCTTTTCACAACTATTTCAATGAGTGATGATAATGTTACTATATTTAAATTGATAGTTGTATGGTAAAAAGATCACTAAAAAAATAAAGATTTTATAATCCACTCAGGCCTTCAAGATAAAGTTGTTGCCAGACGTAAAAACATTACAGACTCCCTGGTAGCATTTATTATGGATAATATAAACGTCATATGGGTACATGTCTCTTGGCCATAACATCTGAAAGGCTAAGTTTAGATTATTTTACCACCCAGTTTATTTCAGAGCTGATTAGATTTGGAAAAAGCTTGACAATAATTTCATTTAAGGTCCTCTCGGGTCAGCGCGGTACCAGAGGCATCTTTGGGAGCAGGCATTATTTTGGAGGCCAGCAGGCCAAGACACTTCACAGCAGGCATGTGTGATGTGCCTGCATTTCCCTTTCCCAGTCGTGTTGGTGCCAGGACAGGTGTCATTTTCTTTTCCTCTGAACAGCTTGCCGAGAAGCCTGCTTTTCCCTTGGAGCTCTTCTTCCTAGGTGAATGGTGGTCCAGCTTGCGGGTGCCGGAGTTCCTGCACGATATGGGAACGTTCGACAGGAAACTATGAGAAGTTAAAACTCTGACGGGACGCATGTGTTAGGAGCTTCTAAAACAACACTTGTTTCCCTGAATCTCTGTAATGTTTGCCCTTTACTAAATGGAATGACCTGCTTTCATGATCTTAGGAGACGGTTACGCTGTCATAGGAATGGGAACAAGCTAAACTTGGACACTCTTCGGAGCATAGCACAGAAGCTTTTTGCGAAAGTCCATTTTTCTTGTTCTCTCTTAGTAGGGAGACTTTAGTTGAGCACAGCACATTGTATACTTGTATGTGTAAACTTTCACGGTAGAGCCGGTAGGTGGGTGGGACTAGTCTGATGTTGGAGAACCAGTGAGCAAGAACAGTGCACAGTAGATACACAGGAGAGTATCGCAGTAGGTTGGAGAAAGGGGAAGAACAAACAGACGGTTTTTTTGTTGTTGTTTTTAAGATTTTATTTATTTATTTGACAGACAGAGATCACAAGTAGGCAGAGAGGCAGGCAGAGAGAGAGGAGGAAGCAGGCTCCCTGCTGAGCAGAGAGCCCGATGCGAGGCTCGATCCCAAGACCCTGAGATCATGACCTGAGCCGAAGGCAGAGGCTTAACCCTCTGAGCCACCCAGGCACCCCGAACAAACAGATGTTTTAAAAGTCATTTGTATTTGTTGAACAAATAGGAGTAGTGTAAGAATTTCTGAAATCTTGATAGAAAGGCAAACCCACTGTAAAGATGAGCTGTATTTTTTTTCCCATTTTTCCTTAGCCTTGCTTATATGTACATGTAAATTTTACATACTTATGACCTTAGATTTTAACCCTAGGTTTTACCTGTTTTTTTTTTTCAGTGTCATCAATCTGTATTTCAGCCTTTACCATGGTCTTCATAGTTCACAGCATAGCCTTGGCCTCAGGTTGACCAACGGTGGTTTTTTTCAGCCACTTCCATATAGTTGGTAATAATCTGTTTTTTAAAATACTGTGAAGTTGCAAAAAGTAGTTTTGACATGACATACAGTTTCCTCAAGCCACAATACTAAGAAGAATCGGGACTTGGATCATACTGGCTTGATATGTTCCTATTTCATATTCAGTACTAGGCAGCAGAGGAACTGCCTTTATCAAAAACAGATCTGCTGTGCCACTGTTCTTGAAATCATGAACCCGTAATGGAAAGTGGTAAGCTAGATTGAACGGAGCCTGTCTGGGGGAATAAAGGACACCGTGTAACTTCTCAGTACGAATTTCAGGCTCAGGAGCTTCAAATGACAATTTGCAAATGACAAGACTTTACCATACTGGGTAGGACTCCCTTTTATTCATGTACATGAGGTGGGATGGAAGCATACCTCTGCCCCTCTCAAGACCCTTTAAAAATATCTTCTTCAGGTAAAGATAGTCAGTGTGCCTTTATAAAATAAGGTTTTTGAGGGTCACCTTTCTAAAATAAGTTCATAATTTAGGACAAGCCATGTTGTATATTCTTGACCGTTTTATCACTCCAGTGGATTATGTAGCTACAAGAGAGGAAAGTGGTATCAGGGACTAGCAAAAATCCATTTGTATTTCTTGAGATCAGCTTTTCACGTGATCTTAGGAGGGCTGGAGCGGCAGCCAGTTCTCTCCAGCAGGAGTTCTGCTTCTACGTGTCAGTGACATCTTTTCCCATGGGCAACTTTTATAACTATCTTTCCTTTCCTCCTAGAAAACAAATGTTAAGCAGATGGACAGTCCTGTGCCCTTAATGGTGACGGCACAGGATCCTTCAAGTCTGCCCAGTGCCCGAGATCCAGATGGCCGGTTTCTTTGCTGCACGTCAGATCCCAGGGACAGCCAGCAGCGCTCGTCTCTGCCCGAAGACCCCGAGCCTCGTCCATGTGGCCACGGGAGCACTGTGGGGGAGACTGAAAGTTCCTCCAGTTTGTCAGGTGTGGCTGCGGAAGAGAATACAGACTGTTCTTGTAAGAAGGAAACCAAAGGTGTGGGGGGAGCAGGGGACGAGGCGGAGCCCTCACTTACTGTGGACTGTGGAGCGGTGTCTGATCCCAGCAGCCGCCTTCTGAGCATACCTGCTTGTGGAGGAGAGGCCACAGGAGACTTTCCATCCGGTCAAGTCAGAAATGGAGAAACTGGAACAAAATCTTCTGCACTGGTCACAGACCAGGAGTCTCTAAGCACTGGAGACCGCCTCCTGCAGGGAGACATGGCCATGCAACCGGGCTCCGTTCCCACTCCACATTTCTCTGGAGGGGAACTGGCAGTCAGCGTCCCAGGAACTGCAGGGGAGACAGAATGTGGTCTCCCAAACATCGACGCCGCCATCCAGAAGGATGTGCTTGAAGTAAGGGAAGGTACAAAGGAAAAGTTTGAGGACTCTCCTATCAGCACAGCCGGAGCCTCTGACGTAAAAGTCACAAGTCAGCCTGCAGATAAAGCCGCTGCTCCCAACGGCGTCTCTGCCACCGGCTCCCCGGGTGCTAATGAACCTGCTGAGTCTTTACTTGCATCTAGGAAGGGAGAAGCCTCCCCTGTGAAAACTGCAGAGACAGAAGCTTCAAGAAGTTGTGAAGGGAATGCTGGGGCTCCCGTGGGTCAGAGCTCCCCAGTAGCTCCAGCTGCTGCAGAAGACACGACTTCAGATGGGCTCAGTCCTTCTGCTCCCTTGGCAGGCACAAGTGAAGCAGCGTCCCCCTCCCATCTGACCTTCCCGGGGCCACGAAAAGACGCGCCAAACAAGAGATCGGAAACTGATTCATCTCCCATTCAGAGCCAGATCAGCCAATCACCCCTCTGTTCTACACCTGGAGGGGACACTCCGTGTGCCACCCCTGCCTGTGGGCAGAGCACAATGACTGCTGCGGGCGTCCTGGCTGCGGAACACTGTGGTGGCATAGGTACCCAGCCCGAGGGCACTGCCCCAGGACTGCCCCCCACACAGCATCTCCCCCCGGCCCTCTGCTGTGAAGGTCTCCAGGCTCACACAGCCACCCCTGACCCTCCAAGAGGCACCCAGGACCAGGCGGAATTTTGTCCTCTTGAAGTTTCAGATAAAGAGGGCCAGAGAAAAGATTGGAACCTCGGAACAGCTTTAACAAATATGCTTGAGGTGCAGCCACAGGTGCTTGTCCCCAGCACCGAGGAAGAACTGGTACCAGACCAGGCTGTGACATCAGACCAGACTCCTCTGGCAAGCGGGCCAGGCAGTGAATCAGTAACCAAAGATGACGCACTTTCTCTTGTCCCCTCCCAGAAAGAAAAGGGAACAGCAACTTCTGAACTACATATGGCTACAGATGGTGGAGATGGCCCAGGCAGAGATTGGAGCGGTCCTGAGAAGCAGCCCTCAGAAGACGGTGCCATAGGCCTGCCCGCACCCTCCGCTGCTCTCCATTGTCAGCCCAGAATGGGGAATACCAGCCCCATGGGACTTAGTGGGGAACATGGGGCTCCCCGCCTTTCAGCAGCCCCCGAAGTTCTGGATCTTGAGGAGGGCACCGACGCTTCTCTGCTGTGTGCGGGTAAGGCCACTGTGGCCTCCAATTCCGTTCTGACTGAGGTGGGAAAAACGGAGGTGGTTCTGGAAAGCTCTGAAGCTCAAGGACAAGATAGCAGGGATAAAGCAGCGACTTGTGCCTCTGTTAAGGAAGACACTTGTTCCTCAGGAGCGTTTCAGGAAGAGCAGAGAACACCACCTCCTGGACAGGAGGCACTGGGGTTCTGCGGAGAGCGGAGTTCGGCTGTCTGCGCCGAGGACAGAGCACTTGAGTGCGGCAGTCCCCGGGGCGCACCCTTGGCCTGCCTGAATGCAGAAACGGAGCATAACCAGGAAGTGGCCCCGCCAGTCTCGCTGCTGACTGAAGGTGGGGCTGCCCAGAGCCCGGTGCCACGGGGAGCAAATCTGGCTGCAGACCCACACCAGGAAGCCTCGGGCGCAGAGCAGAGCGGCTCAGCTGCATTGCCAGGTGTGTCACCAGACGGGGCTGCGGCTCTTGCTCGCAGTCGGTCTTCGGCTCTGGATATTGGCGTGCAGAACCCTGAATCCCAAGGTAAAAGCCGTGCTGGTGAGGTGAGCGGACATGTGGGGTTGGATGTTGCTGTGGTTGATGCCACAGAAGATACTGTCGGGGCCAGAAGAGAGGCTGTATCACACACCGCCCAGGACCTCCCGATTTCAGAAGCCCTGAGCCAGGAGAAGACTGTGGTCCTGGATTTGCCGGGAGCTTCAGCAGACAAAGGTGTGCTGGAACTGCGGGGCACCGCTGCCCCCGAGATGGTGCCTGTCGGTTGGAAGGAGGCAGACAGCGGCGGCGTGGCCCATGGCAGCGGGGCACAGGTGGATGCCGACGCGCGCCACGTCCTCCAGCAACCACCTGCCAGAGAGCTCCCCACGGACACCGGACTCTCAAACAGTGGTGAGCCGGCCCCAGGCAGGGCAGGGGGCACTCCCCCTCTACCCTGGGCCGTGTCTCTGCCCGAAGGAGCAGGCTCCATTGAGGAGGCTGCGAGTCGCATAGTGGAGGCCGTCCTGGACCAAGTCAAGTCCTCGGGAGCCCTGATCACTGGGCAGGGGACTGGTCACATGTCACCGTCCAGCCCTTCAGAGTCAGGCCCAGTGACTGAGCATCCAGAGAGTGCTTCTGCAGGGAAAGGGAGCTCTTTTCTGCCTGGGCGGACCCCACACATGGGCAGTATCTGCGAAGAAGCCCCTGGCAGCCTTGCAGGGGGTTTGGCTGAAAGGGAGAAGCTGGAGAAGCTGGTTCTGGCCGCTGAAGGATCTGGGCCCGCAATAGGTAAGCAAAGCAGAATACAGAAGTAGCAGTGTGAGGGACAGACTCTCTTAAGTGCCTCAGAGATATGCTGGTAGAGAAAGGAGGCCTCTTTGTGGTTTAGAAGTGTCTTTTCATTCATTGGGTAAGTTGCCAAGTTAATAGTCACCACCCTCAGAAGAGGGACGTCCTCAGGGTTGGACAGATTTTGCTTCCTGTATTGTAGACTCCAGGCCTGACTGATGAAGCCTGTAAACGCTCTGTCTCCCACACCGGAGGAGTTGCAATTTCGCAAACCGAGAAAATGGGTCTCCATCGCAGGTGCTTTACAATGATAAAGGAATTTTGCAGATGTTTTTATTCACATGGCTTAGTCCTTTTTTCTAGAACTGTGAAAAGCGGTGTTGAAAAAGTACGTTTTGCTTAGGAGCCCAGAACACTTTCCTTCCCTGTCATCCTAGTCTGTATTCTGAGCAAGTTTAGAGTCAGGGTGGTTTCATGAAACAGCTGTAAGAGTCGTTCTACGCGAATGACCCTACATCCAAAATGGTGGTATTAGGTCATTGGGGAGGGCGGGGGTGGGACGGGGGAGGGGAAGGAGAGAACGCCCTCCTTTTCCTGCCCACGGAGCTGACTTCCCGTTCCATTGCCTGATGCTTTTGGGCAGCGTTCTGGGAATCCGGGACCGTGTGCAGGGCAGGGGATGGGATGCAGGATGTCCGCCCAAGCCTGCTGAGCTGCTGTCACAGCGCACTCGTTGTGTCTGCTTATCTCGGTGAAGCAGCTGCCTGGAGCAGATTGCTCACACAGCAGCCTGTTCCATCTGTGGGTAACCATGTCCAGAGAGAGCAAAGAGAAACCGCTGTGGCTTGGGGGAAATAAACTACGTGAATAAAACTTCTTGGGGGTTGAAGCTGAAGCCGAAGCTGGAGTCCAAGGTGGCATTGACCCCTGAATCATTAAAGGTCTGTTCGATTCGTACTTTGATGCCGCCACCTGTTGCCAGGTGTAGACAGAGCACGGGTCTCCATGCTCACCCCCAGCCGGTGTAGGTAAGAAGTAGCCTGAATTGTTCTTATTGTTGGTTTGTTTTTGCTGCTCTTGTCATGTTTGAAAATCTCCTTAAGTGTAGTATGTGTTTAAAGTGTGGGGGTGGGGCATGTGGAGAAATGACCAACAGAACCAGAAAAGAAGTTGCTTAGGAAAAAGCAACGTGTGGTCCTCCCCCCGCCTCCACTCCCGATAAAGGGTTTTTAACCAATTAAGATCTTTTTATTCCCGTTGAGGAATTTAAGAAGCTTTAGGTATTACCGTATTTTTGGTGACTTGGCGTTTTTAGTTTTATTCGTGTTTTGGATTCTTAGTACTAGAAATTTGTTGGCTGCTATCTCAGGATTTAAATGAAAAGGTCTCTCATTTTTAAAATAAGATACAACAACAAGTCTATTTTGGGGGCCCTGGCAGGTTGACATTTCAGAAGAATGGGAGTGGCTGTAAGCTGATACCTGGCTGTGTTCATTTGGGTGCTGTGTCTTTGGCCACATGGGCTGGAATTATTTGTCTTTCTGGTTCAGTAGTCCAAACTTAACCCGAGCAAGTGCAAATTCTGTGAAGTTTGGGTCTCTAATACCCGGAGAGAAAAGGTAGAAACCGGGGAGAATTTCAGACTTTGATTTTTGGTAGTTTGTAGTTAGGGTATAGATGCTACGAAATGATTTTTAAGATTTTTAAGGTTTTAGGAAGGAAAATGAGTTGTATGAAATTTCCTCAGTATCTCTGGGTTTAGGCTTGATTGATGTGTGTGGGCGAGTTACTGGTTCTGCTACCAAGAAGAGTCATATGTGTTCAGTGCTCATGGTCTTATGTTACAGAAAGAAGTAGCCAGTGACCAAGAAATAGGGGCTTTCTTCAGAAGAAAAAAAAAAAAAAGGCAGAATTGGGGAAAGTCCCAGGTCACATTGCTCTAGAGAAAAAGCACCTGAGTGTGATCTCAGCCAAAGGGTAATTTCTGGGAAGTTTACCTTCCATTCATGGATTTAACCACAGTGTTTTATGAGTGAAGAGACGTCAGATAACTTCTGACTTGGAAGGAGCCGTGTGGCACCGGCTTCTGTTTGTAGACGCTGCCAGATAGAAATTAACATGAGAAAACACAGAACTGCCCGTTATAAGGAGGGGATGCGGCCCTTCACTCATCCTGACCATCCATCACCATGGTTTGGGAAGTTAGTCCTCCGGGACTCAGCCAGGCCAGGCTGCAGAGGTGGCTGGTGCCCCTCGTGTCTCAGTAACCACTATTCATGGTCGTGATTGGTTGCTGCCTGCTGAGATACATATTTTCACTTGCTGGGTATAGGATAATAAGGGTGTGCCAAAAATCACTTCCCCAAATAAATAAAATAGAAGTCATCAACAACCAAAAAAATTAGTCTTACTTAGAAATGTTTTGATCACCTTACTTCTAAGGTGCTTTCTTAGGGTTTTTTGTTTTTTTTTTAACTTTATTTACATTTTATGAAATGTAACATAGGTTTTTGTTCTTTGGGCAAGGAAGCTTGTTTAAATTGCTAGTAAGATTGTATAATTATAAATAAGGGAATTTATGAATGCTCATCTGTAGGACTGTAGCTTTCCTAAACCCGAAGGAGACCTTTGGGCATGTCACAGTGTGCTGTAGAATAAACTCTTTTCTTTGGTGAAAGAAACTTCTCTGCCCTGTGGTGTACAGAACATTTTTTTTCTGCCAGAGCAGTGGCATGACGAGATTGAAATTGGCCAGAGAAAAATTTCCACATGAAATTGACATGATAGTTCTATTTTTATTTGTATTATCAAGGTGAATTTTAAACGTGCAGTCTCAGCCCCCTTTAAAAAAAGAAAAAAGTCAAAGGCTCAGTTTGTCTCCGACATCAAGTTATCACTTCCTTCCTGTATTTGCTTGACCATATGGTGGTCAGGTAACAAAAACCACTACTGTTTGGTCTAGTGAGCATAATTCTAAAGAAAACATATAAAAACATTTTGTTAAGAAAAGGAATTCCTCAGTTTGCCTGGCTAGCTCAGTTGGTGGAGTGTATGACTTTTGATCTGGGGGTTGTAAGTTCAAGCCCCATGTTGAGAGTAGAGATTACTTAAAAATCATTTAAAAAAAAAAAAGAAAAGAAAAGAAAATTCTTTGTGATTATGTTTTGGTTAGGGAAGAAATAAAAATTAAAATACAAAAAATATATTATTTACTAGACTATTTCAGTCTTGTCCGTTGCAGTGATGGTTAGATGAGAGTGTGCCGTATGTTTTTAAAGAAAGTCAGACTCCTCTAAAAAGGTTTTATCTCATTCAAGACACATCTTTCCTCTGTGTCCTGTGCAAATATAAACATCTCTGGCTTCTTGGATGATAATCAAGATGGACCACCTAGCCTCAGCTCTTGATCTGTTTCCTCAAAGCTTGTGAACTTACTCTCCCATACGCAGTCAGCGCCACACTCAGGATTTGTCAGGAAGAGTCAGTAGTGAAAATGGAAGTTCAGCAGACATTGGATTGCACGTCTGCTTCGCTACAAACCCATGCAGAGGCGAGGGGAGAACCGTGTGGACCTCATGATAAAGGAACAGCTCAGCGCAGGGCCCTAAATGACACCAGCTGCAAATGAATACTTTCCCATTTTGCACAAAAGCAAAAGCAAACAAAACACGTGAAGCCTGGATGTGTTGTGTAAACCCTGAAACACGGGCCCCGGTTTTTCAGACGCGCTTTGTAACCCCCTTGTTCTCTTCAGAAATGCCAGACTTGAAGGCTGCAGACGGAGCGGATTGTCTGAGTAATGCCGGGGCGAGCTCAGCCTCTGCAGAGGTGGTCGCGGGAGCCGCAGCTGCCATGCCTGATGTGAAGCAAGGCCTGGCGACCCAGGCGGTAAGTGGCAGTTAAGTCTACAGGAGCACAGAATGTGGTTAGCCTGGTCTGATGTGTCTGATGTACGGCCTTGGTTTGTTTTGTCTTGTTTTTTGGTTTGGTTGGGGAACGTGTTTGTTTTTGTTTTTTTTTTTTTTTTTAAATGAGAGTATTTTCCCCCTCGCCTCTTCTCCCATCACGTGGAGATGTGTCTTTGTGGCTCTGTTCAGCTTTCCTACACACATGCACCACCCAGTGCAGGTTTGGAACGAGCCCTTCTGCATGGATCCCTCGGAGACTGTAATGAAAAAGATTTTCCCTGGGAGCACGAGACTTGAGTTTGTCCTTGTGTTTCACGTGTCACAGAAAGGGATCTAGTAACCCCTTAAACCTGACTGTTCTTTCTTTATGTAGAAACTGATAGGAAAAAGATTTTAATTTAGCGTTCACGACTGTCTAAAATGTGTAACCTATCCTTTTTAGTGACCAAAAAAGTCACACTAGTTTTTTTTTGAGCAGCTTTATTGAGTTATAATTCACCCACTGTGAGACCCACCCGTATCACGTGCCTGGTTTAGTCGTTTTCAGTAGATTTCTGAGCAGTGGTCACCCCTGTCTGATTTCAGAACACTGTCATCATCCCAGAAAGAAACCTCCTATGCTTTAACAGCCCATCCCTCCCCATTGTCCGGCTCCTGGGTGTCCCTCATCTCCCTTCTGCCTCTAGCATCTGCCCCTTCTGGAAAGTCACTTGGGATCATATAGTTAGTGGGATCATATATAACTACATGGTCTTTCACAAGCGGTTTCTCTGACTTAGCTTACTCTTTCAAGGTCAAACCATGTTGTAACACTGATTAATATTCTGTTTCTTCTCATTGCCAAGTAATACTCCATTCTGTGGACTGGCCACGTTTTATCTTCTTGTTTCTACTCTTGGGTTGTTGTGAGTAATACTGCTGGGAACCTTTGTGTACAAGTTTGTGTGGATGTATGTTTTTGTATACCCAGTAGAGGATTTCCTGGGTCACTGGTAATTCTTCCATCCAAGTACTAACCAGACCCGGCTTAGCTTTTGAGATCAGACGAGATCGGGCGCGTTCAGGGTGGTATGGCCGTAGACGGTCACTGGTAATTCTGTATTTAATATTCAGTAAGTTTTTAAAAATGTTTTTTCTTCGGGTTCTTGAGATTCTTTTTGTTTAAAAGCTGTTAACTTAAAACAAGGGAACAAACAAACTTGTTGAGAGAAACAGTGCTCTAAGCTTTAAAGTCCTTTCTGGTTAATTAAAAAAAAAAATAACCCTTTGGAAGCTGAAAATCAAGTTTTAAGACTAAATCGTATTTCCCCTCAGAAAATCAGTCTTCTTTGTCTAGACTTGACAGGGCCCTGTTTTTGCTCTTCAGAGGGCTATGTGGTACTTTTTCTTAAAGTTACCCCGGTAGGTAAACAGAACCGTACCCTACCAAGCTATTTCAAGTGTATGAACTGTGATAAGCAGGCTTCATTTTATTGGAGTCCAGTGGTAGGGAGATGCGGACCGTTGTAGCTGCTCCTCATTACAGATCATGTTCATGACTAATGCCTGGGCGGCTACTTGTAGCACAGGCAGCATTTAGACAAATGTTGCTCTTGTCCCTGGGGAAAGAAAAGAGAACACACCCTGCATGGGTACATGTGTGTCTTTGTTTCCAGAAGCCCCTAAAAAAGGGAAGGAACAAACTCACATCCTTGAATTCAAATGCCTGTTTCTTAGTCTCTCACTGAAGAGAGCCTGCTGCTTGGCCATAGCCCCTTTGCTTTCCCAGGAGGGTTACCTCTATCCTAATTTTATCTTGTCCATTATAAAGAAAGCAGAACATTACTTTTTTTTTTTTTTTTTTAAGTTCCTCCTTTCCTTGTTCTCTTTCCTCTTTTCATTTTCCCTCTGGTTTTAGAGGAGTTGAGAGAGAGAATGCTCCTCTGGTCGGTCAGCCTCTCATGTCCCGGGTGAAAGAATTAGACCCTTGAGAGAGTGCCATGACGGGCCCAAGGTCAGACCCAACCAGAATGGGAGCCAGGAGGCCAACACAGCAGGGTGTGACCTTGCCTACTGCCCCAGGCTCTGTGAGCAGGCCTTCTGAGGAGGTCCCTGCGTGTCTGTGACCTGTCTGTTGCTGGGAAGTACTGGTGCCTTTGGCATTGTGTCTGCCTCCACTTCGCTTGTTGGAGAAAACCTACCTTCGTGCGTCTTCAGGTCTAGGAAGTGGTGATGTTTGTGCTTGCAGTGTCGTTGGACTGATGGGACATCTGAACACTTACCTCTCCCCCCTGTTGCTCTGCAGCACTGGCCCCATCTGCTGTGAACTGGAAGGATAAAGCATGAGCACACACTTTGATGTTCCCCGGGTCTCAGTTTCTCTTTTTTCTTTCCCATTGAAGTCTTCGTATGCTATATTCACTGTGTAGGTTTTCAAGACATCCACAGACTTTTGGTGAAGGACAGAGTATATTAAGGCTCTGTGGGACAGGCTGTGTCACGACTAGCCAGCTGGATTCTTTATGTGGAAGTCGCCACAGGCTACACGTGAACATGAGTGTGACTGGGCTGCAGTGAAACTCGATCGATAGACCCTAAACTTTGAACTTCGCATAACATGTGGGTCATGAAATACTCCTTTTTGAGCAATTTTTTGGTCACTCATTTAAAAATGTAAAGCCCGCTCTTGGGATTTTTCATGGGCTACACAAAACCAGGCAGTGAGCCCCTGGCCTAGAGAATGCTTGTGTGCCAACAGATGAAGGACGGAGCAAGTACACTTGTTTTGTTTTCCACATTGTTCTGTTTTGTGGTGGAAACGCTCGGTGTTAGACTGCACATTGAAAGGCAGAGTTCGCCTCTGGGTCTCTCCTGAATTAGCTTTTTGACTTTGTCTCTCCAGAGCATGGCTTCCCTATCTCTCTTTGTCTTCTGGTCTTAACCCCCTGGACTGTGTGTTTGCCGTCTGAAAAGGGTTACTTTTCACCCTGAAAGAGTGAGCTTGAGACTGTAGTGGAGGGTGGAGTGGCATTAGTTTAATATTATTTAATCCTATCTTTCTGACACATGCCCAGCCTGTGTGTTGACCTTGGGAACAGGCCAGTCATTGCTTCATTGAATTACTGCTTCACTGAATCATCCTCTTCCAGTTTTAAAACAGAAAGAAGTTGTGTATCTTATATGTTATTGTCTTGAAAACCTGGAACCATGGAGCATTTATGGCAGTTTTCTAGTAAATGTAAATGAGGAATCCATTCTGAGTTCTTAGAGGACTCTCCCTGTTCTCTCACCTTCTCTAAGCACCTAAGGGTCGAAGCGCATACAGCCCTCTGCTGAGTCCGGCACTATCAAGTGTTTAAGGAATTTTGCATTCCTTTACCTGCTTGGCCATCGGGCTGTACACAAACCCTTACTTGACGAGTCAGTAATGCTTAAAATCATGATTCATAAAGGAATCTGTATGAAGATGAATGCTTGTGTATATTCTCCGAGAAACACAGGTATGTGTTAGATGCTGCAGGTTTCTCAGTAGACGATAGGTGGTCCAGAGAGATAATTGCTTCACTGGATTGAAAATTATTCACAGTTGAGGAGGCCAAGGCATTCACTCACACATACCTGTTCCCATTAGTCATTTTATCAGCATCTTAATGGTTGTGGTTTGTTACTAAGTATGCCAACATTTTAATACTGGTCACAGTTTAATATTCAACCTTATCCCCTCTTACATTATGGGTTTGAAGGTTCTCAGATTACCTTTTGTTGCCTGCCATTTTTCCCCACTCAGTGAGTTAATATATATCAAGCACTTAGAACAGGGCCTACCACTATTATTATTAATTCCCCAACTTCAGACTTCTGTCTCTGTTTATTTAAGTAACCAGTGGCATACGGTGTTTCCTAAATCAGACGCGGTTTGTTTCTCTATTACTGTTATAAGAGCATCAGGAATGGCATCAGACATTAATTTGAGTTGGGAGACGTGGAGCTTGTTGTACCTCTGGGACCTTTAGAATTTGAATGGACCTTAAAGTCTCTGCAGTCTCAACATTTTTACCTTATAGGAGAAGGTGGTTTCAGGATGGTTAAGTGACTTGACCCACTTCACAGCTAATCAACTCTTTAAGCTAGATTAAGCTAGACTTAACTTCTATTTTTTTCTTTTTAAGATTTTATTTACTTATTTGACAGAGATCACAAGTAGGCAGAGAGGCAGGCAGAGAGAGAGGAGGAAGCAGGCTCCCCGCTGAGCACAGAGCCCGATGTAGGGCTCGATCCCACGACCCCCATGACCTGAGCCGAAGGCAGAGGCTTTAACCCACTGAGCCACCCAGGTGCCCCTTAACTTCTATTTTAATAATGTTTGTCCTATACTGTGGTTTCCAGAAAAGTCAAACCGAGAGGTTCTAGTTTTTAGGAATCTGGTTCACCTGGATGGGTTTTTGCATTCTACCCCAGAAAGGTGCTCACCCGTACAGTGACTCTAAGGCCACTACATTATACTACTGTGTTTTCAGTGGTGGTTGGAAAAATTCCTCTGGCCGTTTTAGGACGTAAGTGATTCACTTTAAAATAAGTCTCATGTTCTTATCACAGTCTGTTAGCTGCCGCTGAATATCACCAAGATACTGTTTATCCAAGCAGTTGGCTTTTGGTGCAGAAATTACTAAGATTTTCCAGACCTGCCTTTTATTTCCTGAAGAATGATATGACTAGGTGTAGAGATGACATTGGATACTTAAGTGCAGAATCAAAAGCCTTCTGGGACCATTCTTTTTGAGAATATGCACCATGGTGATCAGGAAAGAATTCTGACTACTGCTCCCCTGCCCAAGGGCTGCAGACCAGCCTGTCCCATGTCTTTTAGGATATTTTACCCTTCAGTATGTGGCCGGGTTCATTAGGAAGGAACTTGCTTCCCTGGGGTGTCTGTTCATTGCAGTATCTCTGTAATAATTACTTTTCCAAATGCTCATCACATAAGCTTATTAGCCATTTGGA